GAACTATTAAAAGTAAGCAGATAATTTCTTTGTTAAAAAGTATACCATTATGAGTCAGAACAGGAGTAGCATGAATAAGAGTTTGAATTTATTTCGTATACTACTTCAAAAATAATTTTAGTGTAGTAATTTTGAAACATTTGCTCTTATATTTATGAGATTTTGCAGGGAAATACTGATGAAAAACCACAATTACAGTATTAACATTTAATCTTCTGGTGTATAAGGAAGGTAACATCACTATCTTGGGACAGAACGCTCCTTTCACCATTTACCTAGAAAGTTGTGCATTTGTTATCTGAACTTTAATTTCATTCTTTTCAATGTAGAGTTTGGACTAGTTACATGGGATTCCATCTAACCTTGAAATTTTAATTTTTTGGTGGAAAAAGCAAGTATTTTCCTTTAAAATAGAAGCAATTTATAACCAGTGTCTCTTTTAGAGCTGCAGAGTCAGAAGTGAGAATAAGGATGAGGTGGTTGGGTAGTAGAACAATAACTTATGAAAATTGTCATCAGAAAGCTGCTTTAGGAATATGAGGACATTTTTTTTTTTAACTAAGAAGATAAAAACCACAGCCTTTTGGCATGACTTGTATCACAAGCAGCCACTTGAATAAATTATCCGTTCCTGTGCTGGGGTCAGCAAACTATGGCAGCTGAATTTGGCCCACTGCCTAATATAAAGTTTTCTGGAACATAGCCATGCTGATTTATTTACAAATCTGTGGTTGCTTTTGCCCCACAATGGCAGAATTGAGTGGTTAAGACAAAAACTGTATTTCCTGCACAGCCTAATATGTTTACTATCTGAACCTTTAAGAAAAGTTCACGAGCCCCTATACCTAGAGCATTGATTCTATTAGAGGATATGGATGTTGAGACCTGTTAGAATCAGCTGTGCTTTTCCTGACTACCACTTTCCCACTTAACTCCCTCAACACAAAGAGACTGATGGACCTTGCCCCACCCCCTTCCACTGAGTCACTGTTATTAACTGGGAGGTAATAGTAGCCCTCTTTGCATGTTGGGACAGAAAAGGGTGAACCACTATACTAGAGTTTTGTGATTGTCCCTTTATTTTTAGTTTAGATGGAAACTTCTAATAAAGTGATTATTGGTAGATAAATACGAATGTTAACTAGTTTCAAGTTATTTTAGGTGAGATTTTTAAGTTTTTTTCGAAACTTTTAGCTTCTCAGAAGTTAGAAAAAAGATATTTGACTTATTTATATTAATGAATAGTTGTTAATTTTCTCTCCAGTTGTTGCAGAAACTACAGGTAGCTTATCTGGAGTTAGTATCACATCAGAACTAAATGAAGAATTGAATGATTTAATTCAACGCTTTCATAATCAGCTTCGTGATTCTCAGGTAACTTAATTGTTTCAGTATAGTTGAGTTTAAAATCACATTAATTAGAACAGTGGTTCTCAAACTTCAGTATGTATGAAGTCTGGCATGATTGTTAAGCAATGTAGGTTTCTGGTCAGTAGGGTCCCCCTACCTCCATAGATTTGGGGTGGGCTTCTCCCCGTGTGATTTTAGCATTGGTGCTTTGAGGACTATATTTGAGAAACTCTTAATTAGAGGAAAATCTACTTTGAATGAAGTGATTAGTGAAGTTTTCCCCTTGTAAGTTACTAGATGACACATTTTTTTCCTCT